TACTCCAACTTGACTCAAAAGTTTTAATCAACTCTTATGTATTCAAAACTGATTCATCAATACACACAATATCAACTTATTCTTCAAAATTTTCTCCCTTACTAAAAAAAATGTCAAATTTCACATCTTGTGACCTAATATCAATTCAAAATCTCATTTAAGTACCTTTTTAGACTGCCATAGGTATCTCAGAGACACATCTTGCTCTTAATAGACTTGTGTTTCCAAACACATTAACGAGAACATATATAGTCGATTATGAGTTTAAGATCACCCATATTTTGTTATTTACATGTCTAAAACTTATATATTTTGAATATATAATATAGAAAAAACTCCATTAATTGAAAAGTTGCACTTAACCAAACATGTAAATTGGATTCTATTATCCCAAGCCTCATTACATTCAACAATATTCCATTCTTTCTACCCAATAGACTATATAATTATTGGTGATTAAAGAATAGTTAATTTAATAAGAATTTTTCTTTCATTATATTGATCACTGAACTCTCATGATAGAAATTCACGCTGTCAAAGTTTTCACTTTCATATTTTGATTTTCTACTCCACTTCAAAAATAGTCTAAATCAATATAATATTTTCAACTCAAGAAAATCAAAAGCACAAACTCAAATGCATAAATCCATCTATAAATATAACGAATGATGAAGTTCCATTTCTATCTCTCTTAATCATAGCTCACAAAGAAATTTGGACGGATTTACTCTATGAAAGTTTAACTTTTACAATTTTGAATGATTTTCTCAACTCAGAACCTCAAACTATTGCACAAATATCCAAAGCCATAATAAACATCACCATTGTAAGTACGAGCACAACTACCACATATCAAGTAAAAGACCAATCTTTGAAGAACGACTAAGATCAAGTTTAGTGGAGTTTTTGGTACTGTCTTAATATCATATAGGAAATTAGTTTTTCCATTTTGCAACACTAAGTTACAGTATCAATTATATAAACCTCCATTCCAACTTCATTATTTGTATATATCTATTTTGTATCAACTCAACAACTCAACAATAGACTAAAGACACTTCTTGATCTCATATAAAGTGGATTTCTAACTCAATTCATTATCTACACAAGATAAGGTTCGATATGTATAGTATTGACATAGAAACAACACTAAAAGAAACATATTCAAGTACAATATCCTTTAGCTTAATTACCTTCGAGCTAAGAGATTCAAATCGTATGTTTGAAATACTTGAACTTTTATAATATTGATCATCTACCAAAATCACTTTTATATACTTACTATTTAATATGTTTTTCTTGGTCCCTTTTCCAATCTCATTGTGTATACTACATGTGTTTTAGCTCATTTAATACTTAAGATTTGAAGTTTTATACGAACTAGAACATTGCTACACAAATATGTGCTCGAGACTTAGCAACATCAAGTTGTACGTTTTTTAACTCACACGACGGATATTGTCAATAGAGAAAATTTATGGTTTAATTTGTTATTCACAATGACCTTCAAAGTTCTCATATATTGAAGAAAGACTGGTATGAACCTAATACTCATTTAAAAATAATGTGACCAATAAAAATGTTAGCACTATGTTAACCATCAACTAAGTCACATTTAAGAAAAATATCATCTATAACAAAACTTAACAATTCAAATGCTCAAGTACTAGAATCTATATTTTTCGGTAATCAACAAAGTTCTGATTTTTATTCTCTAGAGTAGTATGACCAACATCATGTCTTCTAGTATGTGGCTGATGCTTTCTAAAACATCAAGGTCTTGTAGTACACTTAAAATTTTATCATATCAAATATTATCGCATCTAATTTATCACCCTTATTAAGGTCAACAAATATAGGTTTTGATGCCATGATCTATCAAATTCTAGAGAAATTTTATTTTATCAATGCCCATTTATGCACTAATACCATTTTTCATTAATGCAAATTAACGTTTATGATAGTTCAACGTCAATCACAAAGTTGAAAGTTCACTACATTTCCAATCACCTTCTGTAATTCTATTGTTTCACTATCAGATACTCAATTTCGTAACGCAAAATTTCAAGAGACTTACATTAATTTTTCTTGCTTGAGAACTCCCACTCAGTTGGTAAATCAAATAGTTATAGGTAAGATTTTCTCTAAATCTTCCAATTATCGAACTATCACTCAACCAACAATCAATAGGTCTAAATAAGAATCTCACTAATTCTACAGACCTTAGTATTCATAACAATTTATGAATGAATAGATATTACGTAATTCAATAAGGTAATTCCATAATGTACGATACGAGTATAAATATGCACGTTTATCTAATTATGACATATACCATGAAATTACAAATTAATTTAATTCCAATTATAAACGAAGAATAAAACTCGCATCATTTAAGTTTTATTATACAAATTCTCAATCTCACATTAATATCTGTTGTAACACAATTCCAATAAATGAGAAGTGCATCAAAATTCTCATTTACTGCTATCAAAAAAAAATTATCCTAAATATATTTACGTTTCCCGTTAGATCATGTTCCAAATTCATTTATTAATTTCAATAAGCACGAAACTTTTCAACTAGTTTCATATCCTTCATTTTTCTAATCTTCCTTCTAAGGATGCTATAAGTGTGCATAGATCCAGTAATATCTGATCAAGTACAGAATTTGGAAAAAAGTTACAACATATCATGTAATCTAATCAAAGATCTACACAACTCATAAATGCACAGAAGATGTAGTATTTTAAATATTTTTAGAGTATTTCTTTCATTTTCAAAAAAATAAAAATGAGAGCTCTTTAGAAAAATAACTCCTACTAGACGAATATTAATTAATAACTTGATTTTATAAAAAAATTCAGAATTTAAGCAAGTCAAAAAAATATTTTTAATGCTTTTTTACAAATTTATTTTAAACATTAAATGCAAAAAAAGAAAAAAAAATTAACTATCCAAAAATTTAATTTAAGTATACTTAAAAAATAAGAATAATTCATGGACCAATCTACAATTTTTAGAATTGAAATCGGGTTCCGCATGTTCCCTGACATTTGGGACCAATCTGTAATTATTTTTTAAATTAATAAAAAATTGGAGGCTGAGTCAGCTCCACCACGTCATCCTCAATTTTTTTTTTCAATTGGTCATCTTGAATAATTTTGACGTTTTGAATTCATTTGTATGTTTAGTTTTTAAAAAAAATATTTTTAAGGGCTGCATTGGGGACATCAATATATCTATCCAAGAGTAAAAATGGCAAAAAAAAAAAAAAAAAAAAATTCAAAATTTTCATTTTTTTTTATCAAATTTAAGAGGTCATAATTTCTTCATTTCAAATCCAGAATTAACGATCTTTATACTGTTGAAAAGGTCTCTATCCAACTATACTAAATGGAAATCATTAAACGTAGTGTAGACGAAGTTAGCATGTGATTAAATTTCAAATTTCACCAATTTCATACAAAAAATAAATTTTTATCGAAACTCCGAGAGGGTATAACTTCTTCATTTTTAAGCAAAATAAAGTATCTTTATACTGTTACAAAGGTTTTGAGAAGACCTATCCAACTGTTAAATGGAAATCGTGAAATAAAGTGTAGAAGAAGTTATCATGTAATGAATTTTCGAAATTTATCAATTTTCATATAAAAAAAAAAAAAAACCAAATTTTCATCCAAATTTCAAAAACTCATAATTTCTTTGTTTTAAATTCAAAATTTAAGTTCTTTATATGGATGGAAAGTTTATTGAAATATTTTTCTAATTATACTAATCTTATTGTATAATTATCAATGTAAAAAAGTAAATTATCAAAAAATGCCATAAAAACCACATAAATTTGAAAACTTTACAAACAAAATTCATAACTCAATTGAATTATGTAATGACATATTTAAGCTTGAAAAACTTTAAGGCTCTGATACCAATGCAATAATTCGTAGTATGCATAGTCATAAATTTCGAGTAAAAAATTCTAAATTGAATTGATGAATTACAAGATTTTTGTGTGGTTGAATTACCTTACTTTTCAAGCATCAAATTCTGTATTTTATAGCACTCCAATGTTCTCAATCTCGATCACAACGAAATGGAATTATTATCCAAAATCTAAGTGTAAATTTTTGTGAGTTTTAATGCCATATATATGGTTCAAAGCACTTTTCAATGAATTTTTCCATACGAATTTCACATATTTATTGCCATTTTCTCTCTCTCACGAGTGCAAACAAAATTTATGGGAGTTATGCACAATCATAGAAGTTGGTGGAAGTTGAGGAAAGTTATGTGTTTGAATTCCATTAAACCACTCTCTCCAATACACTTTAATAACTAGAGCGTCCGGATCATACTATATGAATGACCCACGACCCGTATTTTCCAACATAACTAATAAAATGTTACACACTAATTTATTCATTTTTAAAGGCCAGCGATGAATTTGTTATGAATTAATACATCTAATACCAATTATACATATTTCCCAACAAATCTTCAAATAAAATTTCATATTGCTCTCCATCGTGCAAAGTAATCAAAATTACTCTTTGCATTCTTCTCTTCTAATGAGCCATTTTTAAACACAAGCGGAGTATGTGAAAATAATAGGGTGTGTCCATTTCTTCAATATTGGAGAAATTTGATAGAATTTTTTCTAAAATTAGGGCTTAATAAACGGTGTTGGATGGATTCTATTGGATATATTGGTAATTTTGAAGTGATTTTTGAGAGGTTTTTGGAAATTCTGTTTTAAAGAATGTTACTGCTGACAGTATTTTTGAAATAAAATAGAGTGAACCGTATGTTTGAAAGATGGGAGGCTCATTTATAAGCCTAACACTAAGCCCAAAACCTTTGCAGCGGCACATCTGGCACGTGGTCCATGTGTTAATTGCTCCACATATCCGACGGTTTGAAATCAAATCTTCATATCCTCACCTGATCTAACGGCTAATACCCATCATATAAAATACACCAATAGTTGCACGCGAATTTCCAGATATAGAAATAAAAAATAAAAAGTAGAAACGTTTTCCCCCTTGTCCTCTTCTATTCTCCTCGTCCAAAAACCCTAATTTTTCAAATTGTAAACCAGGAAATTTCATCACTTTCTTCAAATAAATAAGCAAAAATTTGAAAAAATCATATATAAGTAGTAATGAGAGGAACGAAACGTTTTGCTGCTTCTGATTCAACTCCTATCTTCAATTCCAATGACTCCGTTGTAAGTGTTTTTGTGATTCTGTTTACTGATACAATATTCAATGGATTATTATTATTATTTATATTCAACTGTTTCTTCTTTAATTTATGTTGAGATTTTTGGTGTTGTGCAGATGCAGAGCAAGAGATTAATAATGGGGTCACCGTTTGATGCGCAGAGGTCAGAACCGTCAATTCAGCTGAGGCAGCTGCCCCCATTGGATATGCAGAGGGCTGAATCATCAAGACAGCATGTGAGAGCTCTTAATACCCAATTTGCAAGGTCCATTTCTTTTTTTTCTTTTATTTTTCTGGAGCATCTTTTGTGCTTCGTTGATAGTTTTCTTTTCTTATAATTGCCAATAATGCTCTAAAAAGGTACAAAGAATGTATGCTTAACCTTAGAAGGATTACTTACAAGTAAAGATGTAAGTTCGATAATTTTTTTTTTTTTTAAATTTTTATTTTATTTTATGAGAGTTCGGATAACTGAGTTACTCCACTTTAACAAATTAACATTTTGTAGTTGAACATAGGTTATCTAAATATGTTTGGAGGCAAAAGGTAACTGAAAGTAGCTTTACATTCTTAAACCTTTGAACATTACTTCGAACTTTGAAGCAGAAAGCCTTTTATTAACGTTTGTACTCCGTGAACATTAATGCATCATAAAAGAAATTGTGCAAGTTCAAGCTTTCCCAACAAGAAGTGAAAACAATTTTTTGGGTTGTATCTTGCCACGATGTGTGGCCCATTTGCTGCATTACTACTCTTTTAATATTGATGATTGTGTAACTGTGATCAGTTTTAGTGTTCAGGCACAGGGTAGTAAATACAAGTTCTATTTATTTATACGTTTTTCTTTCCTTTGAACAGCAGGATGAATTATACTGCGATATCTAATAAATTTTCGTTGGTTCATCTGGCTAGCTCTAAAAGTATGTGTATCATGACTGTGTGTTTGCGTTTTATTTGCTGTGAAATTTCGGATGTCCTTAAATTTATTATTTTATGCATGCTTTATAATGCTCATTTCTTAGAGATTGTTTTAATGTTGAGCAGCTGGGTACAAGCTCAGTTAGAAGACCATCCAGATGAGCTGTGGGATGATGGTGTGCAGGACTATCTAAATCATGCTAAAAACATTGTGGTAATTTTTCAGTTTCTTTTAAATGGATCCTAGGGTCCTTTATAACTCTTGAAGACTCGAACTGTAATATGCACGGTTAATTTTGTGAAATAATCTTTTTTGGTGCCATTCTTATTATTAGATATTATTAGACTTTATATGCTTAAATGCTTCAAGTATATCCAGGTAGTGATTAATTGCAATTGGTAATTCCCAGCCTTTAAGTTTGGGTGTAACATTGAATAAAGGCACATAAAATCTGAGATGCGATCCTATAACAAGCTTTAACTCCTATTCACACTACACCTGTAATTACATGTCAAAAGTATAAATACAATCTAGCTGGCGTATGTGCGCAACTTACAAATATTAACGAATATATTACGAGAAATGTTGGTCTTAGAATCACCAAAATGACAATGATTTGAAAAAAATTATTCAGAAGACGTAAAATGGCAGAAATAGAAGAACATAAAGGATTTTTCGCTACTAAGGGCCTAAATGTTCAGCCAAAGGCCTACTCACCACATTGAGCATATACGAAGTAGACATTGCTCGAATCCACTAAAATATCACCAAGAACAATTACAAATGTATGAAGAAATCAGAGAGATACCAGCGTTTCTTCTTGCCTCTCTAAGAATTACACAGAATATACTCCACTCAATCTCTTAGATTGCACACTAAATACTACCAAGAACATCTCACTAAAAGATTACGGAGAGTGAACACGAAGAAGAAGAGTACAGAACACTTAGAGAGCAAATCCAGAAACCCTAACAGAACACCCACACGCAAATCCAGCCAAATGAGAGACAGAAGTATCAACATACATGTCTAACCAAAAATCCCCAATCTAACGGCTAAGAAAAGGCCACATGTAAGGCCAGGATAAATCCATCACTTAAAGAGGCAGACGCGTGTTTTGGAAACAAGATTTCATCAAGTGTTTTTGGGCCTCAACCCGGAACACAGTTTGGACCACAAACCAACTGCCCAATTAGAATAATGAGGCAGCCCCAACAAACATTTCCCATCTTGCTGAATTATTCTTGAATCATTTTAGTGGATCTAACAAATTTATAGAATTTCATTTGCTCTAAAAAACCTTTAAAAAGAAAATGGTTAAAGTCAGTTTTAGTTCTAAACAAAACAATAAATTGAACATGCTAAATACATTACCTTTAAGTGATATTCAAAATTTTCAAATAGTTTTTGAATTTATTTAAAGGTAAAACCTTGGTTCCAATAGCGGAGGGGTTAAATTCAGTTGGAATTTTAACTAGATTAAACAAGCATTCTTCAACCACGTTTCTAACAAAATGAAACTTGATATCAACATCTTTAGTCTTATCATGATAAATAGGATTTCTACTCAAATGAATAGCACTTGGATTATCTGTATAAATTCTAACTACTTTATTTACAATACCAATGTCATATAATAAACACCTTAACCAAAGTCCCTCAACATTACATGCTGCAATGTATTCAGCTTCTATGGAAGATAAAGCCACAAGCTTTTGCAATTGGGATTTCCAACTAATACAGCCATCACAAAGAGTAAAAATATAAGAAGTTGATCTTCTCTTATTTAGATCACCTGCAAAATCAGAGTCAGTGTACCTCTTCATAAAAACACGTTCATTACACCTTTGACATTTTAAGCTTAAGTTAGATGAGCCCTTTTGATACCTTAACATCCATTTTATTGCTAACCAATGTGTTTCACCTAAATTGGCCATAAATCTACTTAAGATACTTGTACTATGAGCAAATTAGGTCTGATACATATCATAAGGTACATAATAGAGTTAACAGTATTTGCATAAGGTATTTTACTTATCCTATCGAACTCTTCATCAGTTTTAGGAGATTGCTCACTTGAAAGTTTAAGATGATTGGCAAAAGGCGAAGTAACAGGCTTGCATTTAGTTATAGTAAATTTTCCAAGTACTTTATTTACACAAGAGCTTTGATTCACATACAAGACAATTATTTCTCTCATTTGATTTCCATTCATGAAATTCTTTTATCTTGTCTTAGATCTTTCATTTCGAATTCAGTTTTAATTTTTGATTTAACAAAATCAATTTCAAATCTATTATGGCAGGCAAGAAGCATATCACCAACATATAATAATAAGTAGATAGAATTAGGTCCACCTGATCCAAAGCATGAATCAAAATTGCTCTTAAGAAATCTCAGATTCTAAACATATGAATAAAAATTTTTATGCCATTGTCTCGGTGCCTGTTTCAAACCATAAAGAGTCTTCTTTAACCGACAGACCTTTTCTGATTTAGATTTCAATTCAAACCTCTATGCTGATCCATGTAAATGGTTTCATCAAGATCACTATTTAGAAAGACAGTTTTAACATCAAGCTAGTCTAATTCCCAATTGAAGTGTGCAGTGAGAGCAAGCAGAATTCTGATTGAAGTGTATTTGGCAACAGGTGAAAAGATTTCATTATAAAAGATGTCCTCTCTTTGTGTAAACCCTTTTAGCTACAAGTTTGGCCTTATTTCTTTTACATTCAGCATGAGATTCAGCTCTTTAACTTTGTAGACCCATTTGAAGTCAATAATCATTTGATTTTTAGGCTTATTAACCAGAATCCATGTCTTATTCTTAATTTAGGAATCAATTTCTTCCTTCATGGCTTCCATCCATAGTGTAGAGTCTTTGAAGTTAATAGCTTCTTCAAAAGTTTTAGATTCAGAGTCTATAGACTCCAATTCAGAGTTGAGGGTCACAAATTCATTAGTGTTGATTCTGGTAGAAGGAAATCTATTTCTTTTACCTCTATCCCTAGTTAACTGATAATCATCAAGGGTAGTAATCTTAGATTCATTTTCATTTTCAGATTCATCTTGAGACTAATCTATTTCAAATTGAGTGGTCTCCACCTCATTCAAATAATTAGGTTCAATATAGTCATTCTCTTGATTTTCCAAGATGATTTCTTTAACAGGAACATAGCCATCTTATTTTTTATTTGAAGAACTATTGCAAGGAAACTTTCATTAAAGATGACATTTCTGTCGATGATGACTTTGAATCCATTCTTACTTTTTACCCAGAGTTTTTAACTCTTAGTTTTTTCTCCATAACCCAGAAAAACACATTTTAAAGACCCGAGTTCAAGTTTGTCCTCATCTTGATGAGAGTAGGCAGCACAGCTAAAAACTTAAGTTTGGAATAATCTGGAGACTTTTTAGACCATTGTGTTTCATGGATTTGAAAATCAATGGCACTTGGAGGAATTTTATTAATCAAGCCCTTGTTTGGCCCCCATTTTTCCAAATTAAAGTGGGTGGAATAGTTTTTTTTTTTTTTTTTTTTTTTTTTTTTTTTTTTTTTTTAAATGAGTGGCTGAAAATGAAGAAAAAATTTTGATTTATGTGTAATATTATTTTATGGAAGATTGTGTGGTTAAAAATAAGAGAAAGAAAAATGAAATTTAATTTAATGAGGGCCAAATGGGGGTTAGATAAGTAACAGTTTTCAAGGCTTCTCCCAAAAGATTTTTGGGAGACTAGAGCTCAACAACATATATCTCACCTTTTCCAATAAAGTTATGTTCATTCTCTCAACAATACCATTTTCTTGAGGAGTTTATGTTACTGTTCTATGCCTCAAAATTTCGGATTCTTTACGAAAGGGTCAGATACAAAATTACAAAATTCCAAACAATTATCTATCCTAAGCGCTTTGACTTTCTTATTAAGTTGATTTCGATCATCAATTTTTATCGTTTAAAGTGTTGAAAAGTGCTAGACTTAGATTTTAAAAGAAAGGCACAATTTTTTTTTTGAAAAAATCATCTACTATAAGTAGGTAGAATCTAAATCCACTTAATGTATTTATTGCTGCTGGACCCCAACTCAAGTATTGAAGTGGATTTATGAATCCCACTTTTAAAATGCAACTTATCCAATGACACAATCTTCACAAAACTCTAATTTTTCAATGTTATCTTTTCCAAAACATCGAAGTTTATTTAGAATCATCAATCCCTTTTCACTAACATGGCTAAGTCTTATGCCAAAGTGAGGATTATCGCCACGGGACTTTACAATTGCAGAGCTGTTTCCAACTAGTGGTTCAGCATGTAATGTGTAAATTCCATTGGCTTAAGAAGAGAAATTATTTCCTTTTGAGTTAAAAGACTTATTTTTGTATATCCTTTATGAATCTTAATTTCATATTCATCATATTCACCAAAGGAAATTACATTTCTTTGAAGATCAGGCACAAATCTAGTTTTAGCCAACTCAAGAATATGACATTTTCCAATAAAAGGTAAAGTTTTTCAATACCTTTTATTTGACAAGTCATATAATTTCACATTTGAACTTGACCACCATTTCGGTCATCAAATTTAGTGAACCATTCTTTGATGGGACACACGTGGATAGAACAACCAGAATTAAGAACTCTATCTTTTGGGTTTCTCTTAGTTGCAGTAACAAGGACAACTCCTTGTATATCAAATTTATTATTGCAAGCAATTGCTGCAGATCCATCAGAATTTAATTTTTCTTTCATATTAGATATCTTCTTAAAGCAAATTTTTATGAGCTTTTCCATAGTCGTAACATTTCTTGACTTGATTCTTAGATTTTAATTGATTCTTGTTCTTATCTTTGAATCTAAGATTTTGGGGTCTTCCTTTCTTATGAGAGTTGTATTTGCACAGATTACTCTTATTTTGATTCAGTTTCTCTTTAACATTTAATCCTTCACTAAATTTATAGTTCTTAAATTCAGATTTTAATTCAAGTTCTCTCTATCTTAGGGCAGATGATAATGTCAACAGTAAGATGCTCTTTTCCATATTCTAAGGTAGTTTTGAGTTCCCTGTACTTATCACTTAAGGAATTTAATAGAGCAATGATTATGAGATAACTTCTCATCATAATTGGCTAAGTCTTGAATCAATTTTGTGAATTTATCAATATTATCTTCTAGGGTAGAAGAGGTATCAAATCTAATGTTGTAAAATTGTCTTAAGAGATAACATTTATTAAGCATAGACTTAGGTAAAGTGATTCTAACTTAGCCCACAAGGTTTCATCAGTGGTTTCCCCAACCTTTCTTATCACATTATCAGACAAATGAAGAAAGGTAGAACTCTAGTTTACTTCATCTAATTCTTGTCTTCTGTAAGCACTAATCTGCCCCCCATATCCCATCAAGTACAGCAACACACCACTGTTATAACAATGGAGCCCTCATCTTTTGGAGCCAGAGAATAAAGTCTCTAGTACCCTTCCAGATCTCAACTTCAAATTTGTGTATAGTTGTCATTTCAACAGATAAAGTCACAATGTCAAGATTATAAAGCACACAAAGTATAACAGATCCAAGCATTGTTAGAAAATTATAGAATATGCAAAATTTTAGAATAAAGCGGAATAATACAATAATATCACCTTATCATGTAATTTACACAAAATATAAGGCAGCTTATACAATTCAAGTATACAGAATTATATAGCAACAATTATGATCAAATCAAATAAGCAATTATCAAATTGAATTGTCAATTTGACAGGTTTAAAGAGTGGAGGCCCTTTGATACACTACTCTCGCAGATTCTCGGATCCTTGAGACCTTGGACAAAGGCAACAGTGGTAGGTCACTTACAAAAATCAAAATTAAGCAGAAGACAGTATAGTAATAGCAAAAAATTAAAGAGTATGGAAGATTATACTGGAGTTTGAAACCTCAAAAGTTTCAGAATGCAGAGAATAGTAAAGAAATACTAGCATTGAAACAGAAATCTAAGATTGTGCACAAGAACCCAACGAGTCTCTGTGACTCAGCAGTGAGTCAAGAAAACTAGCAGGAATCGGAGTGAGTAACTCAACTCACCAGCACTCAGCATGAGTTTCAAAAATACCACCACAACTCAGTAATATGTCAAGAAACTAATCACCACAACTCAATAAAAACACTAAAATTTTCAAATCTATGGCGAGTCAAAGTATTTTATTACCAGAAAGTTCAACCCTCAAGAACAGAAGATATCTAAGCCCAAAAGACACAAAATCTTTAAAGGATACAATAAAGAATTGAATCGCAGGTAGATCGTAATAGTATTTTTCAGAAAACACAATTTGTTTTTAATAACTCTCCAAAGATTTCCAAGATTTAACAGATCTGCAATTTTAAAAACTATGGTTTCAAGAACACTGAAAAACATCAATGCTTGAAATAAAAGAGTAGGCTCTGATACCACTTGTAATGGACCACCTGTTCGACCGAGGTTCTGGGGCACCCCAAGGTAGCCTTTCCCACACATGCTGTCGGCAAGCTAAGATATGCAACATAAGCACAATATAAAGAGGTAAAAAGTTTGCCATCATACCTATATAAGGGACATCATTAGTGCATTTTCGAGAATATAGCAATAAACCTGCAATAAGCAATCTTGCCATGAGTAGGGGAGTTCTCTGGGGCCGTCACTTACTCCCCTACTCAATCTGGTAACACCTTCATAGCGGACATGTGCTTCGCCTCTCCGTGCATTGCATACTCCCTCCAAGTTAGTAGGTCCGAAAATTCCTCCACAATTGTGGCATCATCCCCTAATGTGTGGGCGTTCACAGTGTCCTTACACCTCTTCCTATAGTGCCTTATACAAGTCGCCTTCAACACCATCTTTACCCTATGCACCTTTGCAGTAGTTCTTAAGTGGACAACTCTTTTGGCCATTGCGTCACCACACTTGTCGAAGCATTCCTCACAAATGCTCCACTATTCAATTTCCACAGCAATGCTTTGGTCATGCCCTTGCGAAACAAACGATCATGCAGTAGGCAAAACTGCATAACGCATGCCCCTATTTCCATCATCGTCAAAGTTTTCCATCCACGATTCCACTTGCTTGCCAACCACTTTGCCACATATTCGCGATCCCAAAATCTTCTCCCACGAACGTACGTCATTAGTCTTGGATAACCGACAACGCACGTTCGGAGTGGACTAGCTTTGATACCACTTGTTGGTCTTAGAATTACCAAAATAACAATGATTTAAAAAAAACTTAAAAGTTGCTGAAGACGTAAAACAGCAGAAATAGAAGAGCACAAAGGATTTTTCACCACTAAGGTCATGGAGTTTAGCCAAAGGCCTACTCACTACGTTGAGCATCTACTAAGTAATATTGCTCGAATCCACTAAAATATTTCCAAGAACAGTTACAAATGTATGCGATTTCTTCATTGACGTTTCTTCTTGCCTCTCTAAGAATTACACAGAATATACTCCACTCGATCTCTCAGATTGCACACTAAATACAACCAAGAACATCTCACTAAAAGATTATGGAGACTAAACACGAAGAAGAGTACAGAACACTTAGAGAGCAAATTTAGAAACCCTAACAGAACACCCACATGCAAATTCAGCCAAATGAAGAGGAAGTATCAATATATATGTCTAACCAAAAATTTCAATCCAGTGGCTAAGAAAAGGCCACGTGTAATGCTAGGATAAAACCATCACTTGAAGAAACACGGTTTGGACCACAAACCAACAGCCCAATTAGTGAGGCAGCTCAACACAACAAGAAATCCTGAATAGCCTAATTTGCGGTTTTATTGTTAGAATCTTTTGGTATCCAGGCACGCTCTTCCACCACAATCCACCTTCTTCAGCCATTTTTATTCCTAGTGAATAACCTTTGAATCAATTCACATGCACATGATTTGAAATCAGGCATTGTTTCCTTCTTACTTTTAATATGCGAACACCTTTATGTTTTCATAATGGATTTGAATTACAAACAAGGTATGAACTCGACTAAATAAGATCACTAATCTTCTTTGGCTTCCAAATCTTATTGTCTGGAATGTTCGTGGCAGTCCCCCAATACAACGAACTGTATGGCTTTTATTACATTAAAGTATCACTCATGAGTTAGAATAGATCCTGTTCTCTTGCAGAAGTTCTTATTAGACTATGAAACGATTCAACTTTTTGTTACATTTTGTATATCTACTTGATCAGAAGAGAAATTGCATTCTGTATGAAGAAAATTTGGGTATAAATTGCCTCTTCTTTCAATTATACTGCTGGTATGAATTCATCGATTTTTTCTTTGATTGCAGGAGAAATTTAGTGACGTAGTCAACTGGCTGAAAGCAAATGCTGGAAAAGGAGAGAGTTTATCTGAGTTGGGATCTAATGATGCTCAAAAGAAACCTGGTTTTGAAATTGAAAGTAAGGAAAACAATAATAAATTATTACCGGACAAACCTGTGTTATCTCCCGCTGCCACAGCAAACTTTGGAACTTCGTGGAGCTCAGGACTTCTCTTTAGCAATAACAAGCCTTTCACTTTTGGAGGTACTATTCTGGATAAATATTTTAAGAAATTTAATTGTTAAAACTTCTAGTACCTTGGTTGTGGTAAGTGATTTAGAAGTCGGATATTATTCAGATTGGCACTGTTACCTCTGTAATTCTTTCAAAAATAAATGGAAGGGATTTGGAACTCTATAGCTATTCAAATTTGATGAGCTTATTGATAGTACATTACTGGAATTTTTTATGCTCTGTCTTAGCTGCAATTTTATTTTTATTACTTTTGCCTATATTAGTTGTTAAATGAAATTATAGTTTACAGTGGGTGCATTCTTCACTTGGTCCTAGTAAGTTCGTAACAGCTGCTTAATTGGTCATTGAATAGTAAATGAAAGAACTATTCATAATGATTATTTCTGTTTTTGAAATCCTTATTTGTCCAGGAAGCCAAGTTTCAATTTCTGAAAATCAAAATTCAGTTCTCCCAAACCATGATGCTTCAAATGATGGAGATGCTGGTAAGAGACAGAAAGTTCTTTATTAAAATGAGAGTGAAAATTAACTATCATTCTGGAACACAATTTGTCACGCTGTATAGTCTTGAAATTTTTGTCCCATCGAATCATTGTATTTTAGTAGGCATAGATACTGATTTGATATTTACTGTAAACCATCTAATGGAAATTAATACCAGAAAAATCTGTTAAATGGAGTTAGCATTATCAAGAACCTAATTTGACAGCCTAAAACTCCTCTCCCGAGATGAAACCTTCCTTATTATGGTGTCATGTGCTTTTTTTTTTTGATAGGTAATCAAATAATTTTATTACTTAAAAGAGAATATATGGGGGGTGTACAATCATTTTAAGCGAGTAAGGAACAACATGAAATTAGGCAACTTGTCTACAGGATCTTTGGCCACAACATTAAACCAAGAATACAAAATAAAGTAAAATATTTCTCTTATCTGCTCTCTTGTCTTTGTTTGGTCTTCGTAGCAGCGGTTGTTTCTTTCTCTCCACACGTACTATACAATGCAACCTAAGATAAGGTGCCATGTTAGTTTGCTATTCTTATCACGAAGTTTTCTCCTCTATGCCCATAACACGTTCTCTATACGACGAGACATCACCCAATTCCTAGATTGAGAACAAAGTATGCTCTTCCAAATTCAACGAACACCATCACAATGAATGAACAAATAATCGATCGTCTCCCCATCATTCTTGCACATATAACACCACTCGGTTACGTAAAATCCTTTATGACGAAGATTATCCACTGTTGAGACCTGTCCCCTCACAATTGTCCACAATAAGAATGCCACCTGAGAAGGCAATTTTCATTGTCACACCAACTTCCAGGGGAATGAATTATCCACACATCCCAGGAGGGAACTAAAGTAGGAGCGAACTGAGAAAATGTCATTTCGTGCTATCCTTCACCTGGTACAATCACCCTCTCCTACTTGAATTTGTGCCTCATGTAGAAAGGTCATAAACAACGAATAATCATCCAATTTTCAGTCCTGTCGACCCCTCCCAAAAGTGATTTTCCAACTATAGCTTCCATTATGAATGACTAAAAGATCACTCACCATAGTAGAAGGCATTGAGGCAATGCGGTGCAAGGAAGGAAATCCCTCATTCAGCGGTTGATCTCCACACCAACAATCATCCCAAAATCTAATCTCATTACCATTTCTGACCACAAACTTCAGTTTGTCCAGAAAATCACTCCATCCCTGTCGGATATACCTCCACAAACTCACCCCATAAGAACCACAATCCTCAAATGTACACTATCCCCCCCCCGGTCACACCATACTTCGCCCCAATTATTTCTCTCCAAAAGCTCTCCCTCTCCACTCCAAATCGCCACAACCACTTGCCTAATAAAGCCCTATTGAACAACACAAGGCTCCTCACTTCAAGACCTCCCATCCTTACCGACAAACATACAATACCCCAATTGACCAAATGGAGTCTCTTCCCCCCCCCCCCCCCACCCCCCCCCCAAAATTTCCTTTA